AGGAGACAACCAGTTATGTGGCAGCTGGGTGAACTCCCCCTCCCTCACACACCCTATTTTTTTTAATATGCCATGAGAGAGATGATAGAAATAGGCAGGAGGACAGAACAGAGAAAAAAGGTTATAGGTATTCGGGATGAAAGGTTTAAGAAAGGTTTTGGATAGACGTGAGGAGAAATTAAAGCTCTGTAAACTTTATTCCTTTGGTCCTTCTTGGTACGTCCTTCTTAGCTGTGGGACTAGATAGTAAGAAATCTCTGACCTTTTATCTGGTTTCTAGATATGCTTTCTTTTGTGGGAGCTGCATATGCTGGTGGTGCAACTCCATTATGGATCTGACATAGGTCATATATAGTGTCCTGAACAACTCTGAGGTACCTGAAAGCTGTTCCCGAGTTAGACTGGCATGCGTACGCTGTTAATGTTTGATTTAGCTAATGTTTGTTTCCAGTGATTTTTTCCTGGTGTTATGCTTACTCCTCACGTCTCTCCTTTTGAGGTTTATAGGCTCTCTCTACCGAGTCTGTGTTTCGTATCTGTTTTTCTCTGTCCTTTCCCGATTTTTATAATCTTGTATCTATAGTTAAATTTTGATAGCGAGGGGGCACAATATACTTCATCGTCGAGTACATGGCAATCATTCGTGAAATAGCATTTACTGATAACTTGTTTATCTTTTCTTTGGTATTTTGAAATTGTCTTGTTTACCCTGAAGCTGGTTCTCGGAATTTCTCCGTTCCTGCTTTATCCTTCTAGATGTGTTCATTTAATATCACATACCTACAAGTCCCTCCCAAGAAGCTCATTGCTAGTAATCCCTTCCTTAAATCTATTGTTAGAGCAACTGCTCAAGAAGAAATTTCTCACCTAGCTGGTAGTAACAAGTTATCACAAGTTATATACACTGATGGATCTAAACAGGAGTCTTCTGGCAGGGCTGCATCTGCTCTTGTTGCCACCTCCCTAGTTAAGAACGATAATAAATTTGTTGAGTTAGGCATAAGAATTAACAACTGGGCGTCTACACTGCAAACTGAATTGTTTGCAATCCTAATGGCGCTAAAGCTAACCTATGACACTGAGCTTGACTCTTATCATCATTACTGATTCTATGTCATCATTGAAGGCCCTTGGCTCATATAATGACTCCAACAACATGCTCATTGGGGAAGCCAGGTATAGATACTCAAAAATTAGGGACAAAGGAATTAATGTACAATTGCTATGGATCCATCACACATTGGATTACTCCTTCATGATAAAGTTGATATGTTAGCCAAGAAGAGTATCGAGAAGGAGAATGTAGAATATAACTTTGGTATAACTGTGTCTAGCATTAGGAATAATATTAGGAGAGAAGTAAATAATGAAAATGATTGTTATAGGAATGCAGTTTAGAAGCCTGAGTAGATCTATAACCCACTATGATAACATGAACGTAGATAAGTATGTTTATGGAGCAACTTGTAATGTGAACAGACTGACTGATGTTGTAGTGGCCAGGCTTAGGCTTGGTTACAAGTACTTCTGGCAGTTTGGGAGAGACAGATGATGATCAAACTAAATGTAAATTATGTGATCAGGCATATGGTCACTCTCTTGAACACTATGTGCTTAATTGTCCACTTATTGAGGAATACAGAGACAGACAGTATAATAACCTATGTGACATGTCAAGATATCTTATTAATGAAAATAAGATACCAGATATACTAAGCAAATTTCCTAAATTTGCTTGTAACAGATAAGTGAACTATAGATATGTAGATATAAATCCATATGTATTCCTGTTAACCCTTTGGGGCCTAGTTCCTAGGCCTTTTGTGTATCCATATGCTCTCGCGCTACCGTCCACAGGATGGATATGGGGTGCACAATAAACTAGCCACTTCGGTGGCAAAATCTAATCTAAATCTTCTATTTTGAATTTGTAAGTGGTTAGCTTATCTCCTTGTTTGTTTTCTAAACAAGGGAAATAAAATTATTTAACCTTTTCTACGTACTTTTATAAACTTTGAAATATCTTTTGCTACATAGCGGTATTTTCATTCAAAAACGCTTCTTTAGACACAGCGTAGTGCGCTTGCATGGTTAAGTTAGGCACAACGTACCTTGAGAACAATGTACAGTCGCTGTCATGTAACCTTCCAGATACTTTAATATTATTCTAAAATTACCAAGGACTCCTACTGCTGTATGTAAGTGTCCTGCTGGTAACTTCTTGTTTAAAAACAAAGATTTTTACAGTTTTGGAGGGGGCGTGCAATTTCGACCATCCCAGAAAAATTCGCGCACACATGACCAAAGGAGAATGCAACTCTTCTTATAAACTATTTCACCCTGAAAATGTGTTACTCTTCACTACATGAAAGACGATGTTACGGCACACAGTCAGGCACACCATCCACAGGGGACAAGAGAAGCAGATCACACAGGCCATGGGAAACATACTAGGGTAACCACAACCACTCTAGAGATAGAGGTTTTTAGTGTCAGAAAGAAAAAAGAAAGCTGGCTGGCAAGAAGACGGAAATATTACGCCAACTCAGATCACTACTGGAGTGGAGGCACAGTCAGTGGCCTCCACTCCAGAACAACAGATATTAACACCAGCAAACAAAACCCCCCTACATACCATCAATACGAAGGTATTTATCTTTGCAAATATACAGGGTCTAAAGCTATCAAAATACCTTTCGTCAGTGGACTACTCACAGAAGCAAATGCAGCGTTTGCGGCTTTCACAGAAACCCACATGAGGATCATTTTGACAACGAAACATGGATCCCGGGTTATAATTTATTCAGATGCGACATAATAAACAGGTAACAAGGGTTTTTTGGCCTGTATGTCAGTGAGTTCCTCATTTGCTAGAAATTGCTAAACACCTCAAGTGATGTAGTTGAAGTTTTGGCAGTAAAGATTGAAAACCAAAACCTTGTCATTGTGGTTGTGTAAAAGCCTCCTGATGCAACTTCCCAACAATTCTAGGAACAGCATTTGAAAATTAGCCACTCTCTGGAAAATCTCCCAACTCCTGCCCCAAACATCTTACTGCTGGGTGATTTCAACTTAATCAACTTAAGACACCTAAACTGGAGGCACGCAGCAAATGTGTTTGCCGAGATAACCTCAGGAGGCACCTCTAATGAAAAAAATTCTCTCTCTCTCTCTCTCTCTCTCTCTCTCTCTCTCTCTCTCTCTCTCTCTCTCTTTCTCTTTCTCTTTCTCTTTCTTTCTCTTTCTCTCTTCTCTTTCTCTTTCTCTTTCTCTTCTCTCTCTTTTTCTCTCTCTCTCTCTCTCTCTCTCTCTCTTCTCTCTCTCTCTCTCTCTCTCTCTCTCTCTCTCTCTCTCTCTCTCTCTCTCTCTCTTTCTCTCTCTTTTCTTTCTCTCTTTCTCTCTCTTTCTTTCTTTCTTTTCTCTTTCTCTTTCTCTCTCTTTCTCTTTCTTTCTCTCTTTCTCTCTTTCTCTTTCTTTCTCTATCTTTTTCTTTCTCTCTCTTTCTCTTTCTCTCTCTTTCTTCTTTCTCTCTCTTTCTCTCTCTTTCTTTCTCTCTCTTTCTCTCTTTCTCCTCTCTTTCTTTCTCTCTTTCTCTTTCTCTCTCTTTCTCTTTCTCTTTCTCTCTTTCTCTTTCTCTCTTTCTTTCTTTCTCTCTTTCTCTCTCTCTCTTTCTCTCTCTTTTTCTTTCTCTCTCTTTCTCTTTTTCTCTCTTTCTCTCTTTCTCTCTTTCTCTCTCTCTCACACACACACACACACACACACACACACACACACACACACACACACCACACACACACACACACACACACACACACACACACTAACACACACACGAGAGAGAGAGAGTAAATCTCTGCAACAAATTCACCTTAAGCCAGCAGTAGTGGAGCCAACAAGAATAGAAAATACACTTGACCTTATCTTCACTAATAATTAATGGTCTTATACGAAATATAACAGTATCAAAGACAGTATCCTCAGATCATAACATAAAGCACAGACATGTATGCGCAGGGTTCCTGATCAACATAAGGTGATCAGTTATGAGGGTGCCTTCAAATTCAGCTTCAATAACAAAAGCATACAGTGGGATCAAATCAACCATGACCTATATGAAACAAGCTGGGAAGATATCCTAAACAACGCGGATCTGAACCTTTGCCTAGGAAAAATAGTCTGTGGCACTTAAAGGAATGTGCCTTGAGCATACCTCAAGAAGAAAGAAGAGCTATAAACTATAGAGAGAGACGCTCCCTATACAGGCGAAGGCGAAGAATCAGAGCTGCTGAAAGGGGCCAGTATATAGGAAATATGAAAGGAGGCACGGGTCAGAGAAATAGCGGATATTGAACTTAAGCTTAATGAATCATACAGGAGACAAGGAAAACAGGAAGAAATTTAAGCCGTAAATGAAACTGAAAGAAACCCAAAATACTTTTTTTCTTATGCCAAATCTAGGCAAAAACAACATTCACTATTGGACCCTAGCTTAGACGAGATGGGACTTCCATTGATGACAAAGAAATGAGATACCGAAGCTCCAATATAACTCAGTGTTTAGTGGAACATTATATTTTAGTCTTCAAACATCCAACCTTTCAGAGATAATCTCCATGCAAACTTTACAGGATATGCCAAAACACGTTATTGTTAATGGTGTCTGAAATCTTGAGGTTGTATCCACATTTTTCATCGACAAGATGCATCATGCATATATGACCGTTTTTTTGTTTTATTATATTTTTAATAGTAGTAATATTTTTTGAGGTAATGCTTACTGTACTCTGTACTACAACTATGTGAAGAAATTATAGAAAAAAATTGTAACTAATTTTTTTTTCATTTGTTTTCCTTACTGTAATGTGTACAGTAGCCATGTGAAGTAATTGTACAAAACGAAATGACTAATGTTCCTTTCTGTTGATGTAACAATGCCCAGAAAAGTCTGACAAAGACCTGTTGTGACTCCTCTAAATTTTTTTTTGCGCTACCGTTCACAGGATAAGTATGAGGTGCACAATAATCTAGCCGCTCAGGCGACACAACTAAACTTCTCTCGAATAAAGGGAAATTACCAATGCTCTACAAATTTCTTAAGGAGGACTTTGACAAGGCAATTGGATTTCATTGTTGGACTGTATACAGCAAATACCAACAGCCTAACTGCTCGAGTCGTCAACCAAAGTGGAATAAGGTTAGTCTGATATTAATCAGTTGTGGGGGGAAATGACGATTCCCAGAACTATCTATTTGAGTTTTTGTTCGTTGCCTTTACCATTTGTTGAGATTATCCTCGTTTTTATTGTATATTTGATGCCTGTGAGCGCTGAGTGACATACTCCGTCAGTGCTCGGTAAATATATACTTGTATGACAGCAATACTGTGTAGTATTGCTATCATACAAGTACGAGCTACAAGATTTCACAGACCTAAAATCAACTTGAGTATAATGTAAACGATAATAGTAAGCCACACCTCTAGCATTTTTTTTCAATAGTTTTACCTACAACTGTTAAGGAAACCAGTCTGTTATTCGGAAGATTCTTTTCACACACTTTTTATTGACTGGTACGATGTTTGCTATTTTTTTTCAGTCACTATATCACACTGTTTTGAAAATAATCCTGAGTGTAAACTGAAGCTCATCTAAATATTTCTTCATAACCAATGATGCTGTTTGATCGGTTTCCACTGCTTTATATTATTCAGTGTCCGAAAATTTAGGTTCCTATATATCCGGTAAGTAGAGCAGTTTACAAGGAACCTACAAATTAGAAGTAAATACTGAACAATTAATATCAAGGTTCGAATAAGAAAAAGGAAGAGTCAGGTCAAGACAGCAGGGATCAGGTCAAAAAAAAAAAAAAAAAAAAAAAAAAAAAAAAAAAAAAAAAAAAAAAAAAAATTAGGAGTTAAAACTAGCTCTGTCTCTTCGATGTTCCACGAACACCGTTCTTGTTGGATCAGCTCTTACAGCTTGTTTTTGCAGATGTTCTAATCATAAACACCTGTCACTTGACCTGTCCTTAGCTTTCAATTCTTCTCCAAATGCCGTGGCATAACTTTTTTTTTTGTCGCTCACTACTAAGGATATGCCGGAAGATTGTCAGATTTTCATTTCCAATTTATGGGTTTGTGAATTTTGTGTTAAATTATTGGAGGCTTCGGAAATCTTCACATATGATGCTAAGCGGACCCTTAGCTTACATTAGTTACAAAAAATCATCTATGCAATCCGTCTCAAGTGAACTAGTCAGTGCTGTCACTCTTGCCTTTGATGCAACTCATCCCTTGTACACTTATGTTTGTCGTATTTTCTGTGATATCTATGAATGACACTGCATTTTTATGTAGTTGTCTAGAATATATTCATGTTGGTGGATTGTTAAAATCACACAAGTTTTTGGGTGCATGGGGTAACGAAAGGTAATTAGATTCCATCCAAGGAAGGTGAGGCCAGATCCAGTTCCTTGGTTCAAAAGCTCTTCACCAGCATCAGTTAACTTCCTTGAGAAGTTTAAATCTTGCAGTAGGACCACGGGCTCATTAGACGTAATTTCTTAAATATTGTTGATTGGTCAATACAAGGTGGCTAAAGCTCCCGATTCACACACGGAGGGCCCGGGTTCGATTCCCGGCGGGTGCAAAGATTTCGACGCGTTTCCTTACGCCTTTTGTCTTATTCACCTAGCAGCAAATAGGTACCTGGGTGTTAGTCGACTGGTGTGAGTCGCATCCTGGGAGACAAGATTGAGGACCCCAATGGAAATAAGTTACAGTCGTCGATGACGCGCTGACTTTCTTGGGGTATCCTGGATGGCTAACCCTCCGGGGTTAAAAATCCGAAGAAAAACTTACTTTATTTTGTTATGTTTAAAAACTATAGACTTCATGTGGATCATTGATGCATTTCACCAAACGAACCGTAGTCCTGCTGCATGCCAAGACCACCGTTAGTCCCCGTTCATTCTTCCTGTTTGTTCATTGACAATCGTTCATTTCCTATATTTGAATTTACCCTTTACTTTCTCACCCATATCGTTTTCTTTTGTCTCACCACAGATATCGTTTTCTGTTGTCTCCCCACATATATCGTTTTCTGTTCTCTCCACATCGTTTTATGTTGTCTCCACAGATATCGTTTTGTCTCCCCACAGATATCGTTTTCTGTTGTCTCCCCACAGATAGTTTTCTGTTGTCTTCCCATAGATATCGTTGTCTGTTGTGTTCCCACCCACATCGTTGTCTGGTGTTTCCACCCACATCGTTGTCTGTTGTTCCCACCCACATCGTTGTCTGTTGTTCCCACCCACATCGTTGTCTATTGTCTCCCCACCCATACCGTTTTCTGTGGTCTCCACGCATACCGTTTTCTGTGGTCTCCCTGGAGGGTGTTCCGGGGGTCAACGCCCCTGCGTCCAGGTCCATGACCAAGCCTCGCTGTGGATCAGGGCCTGATCCGCACGCAAACCGACGTATGAATCACAGGCCGGCTGGACAGGTACTGACTTTGCCTGTTGAGCTCCCTCTTGAAAACAGCCACGGGTGTATTGGTAATTCACCTTATGTATGCTGGGAAGCAATTGAACAGTTTTTGACCCTGACACTGTGTTGTCTCTTAGCGTACTCATGGCGCCCCTGCTTGTCATTGGAGGAATGTTGCACCGCCTGTAGAGTCTTTTGCTATCGTAAGGAGCGATAACCGTGTGCAGATCTGGGACTAGTCCCTCTAGTATTTTCCAATTGTATATTATCATGTATCTTGCCTGCGTTCCAGGGAGTACAGGTCAAGGGACTTCAACCGTTCCCAGTAATTTAGGTGTTTTATTGTACTTATACGTGCAGTGAGAGTTCTCTGTATATTCACCAGGTCTGCAGTTTTGCATGTCTTGAAAGGGGCCGTTAGTACTAGTACAGCAATATTCCAGCCTAGAGAGAACAAGCGATTTGAAGAGAATCGTCATTAACTTGGCATCCCTAGTTTTGAAGGTTCTTAGTATCCATCCTATCATTTTCCTGGCAAATGTGGTAGATACATGGTTGTGATCTGTGAAAGTGAGGTTCTCTGCCATTGCCACTCCAGGTCCTTCACATTAGTTTTTTGCTCTGTTGTATATTTGGAATTTGTTTTATATCCCGATCCAGATATTATTTCCTCGGGTTTTCCCATAATTGAGTAATTGCAATTTGTCTTCATTGAACTTCATTTTGTCTTCTGATGCCCATTTAAAGATTTGATTAATGTCCGCTTGGAGATTTGCAGTGTCGTCAATGGATGACACTGTCATGCAAATTCCGGTATCAGCAAACGAGGACACAGTGGCTTATCTCTCTGACAATTATGAGGATGTGGAAAAGAATAGGAGCGAGTACTGTATCTTGTGGAACAGAGCTTTTCACTATAGCCGCCTCTGACTTTACTCTGTTAACTATTACTCTTTGTGTTCAATTTGTTAGGAAGATATTGATCCATATACCAACTTTTCCTGTTATTCCTTTATGAAGTATTGTGTGTGTTATTACACCGTGATCGCACTTGCTGAAGGCTTTGGCAAAGTCTGTATACTACATCTGCATTTTGTTTGTTCTCCAGTGTATGTCATAGTTGTGAGAGGCATTAGCGACCTGTCTTAAACTCGTGCTGCCCCGGGTTGTGCAATCGATGGGTATCCAAGTTGTTGGATACCCATCTGTAATTCTTTGCAATTGCTTAACTGCCACCTTTGTGAAGTGGGGCTATATCTGTTGTTTTTAGTGCCTGTGCGATGACCCTTGTGTCTGCTTCCTCTCCATAGGATATTTAAGGCACGTGAAAGGGGTTTCTTGCAGTTCTTGATGACCACGAAGTTCCACGAGTCTGGGCCTGGGGAAGAGTGAATGGGCATGTCATTTATTGCTTTTTCTAAGTCCTGGGGTATTAGGATTATATCAGAAATTCTTGAATTAACCAAATTTTGAGTCTCGGTCATAAAAAAAAAAATTAGATTGTCGAACCATGGTCTGATTAACGGCTCACTAAACGCCGAGTCATATTGGGACTTCATTATCTCACTCACTTCTTTTGCTGTCGTCTGTGTAAGTCCCATCTCGTTTAAGCAGGAATCCAATACTGGATGTGGTTTTTGCCCTAGATTTGCATAGGAAAAGAAATATATATATATTTTTAAATTCATTTATGGCTTTAAATTCCTCCTGTTTCTTGGCTCCTGTATGATTCCTTAAGCTTAAGTTCGAAATTTTCTATTTCTCTGACCAGTGCATCCTTCCGTATTTCAGATATACTGGCCCCTTTCAGCGGCTCTGTGATTGTTCGCCTTCGCCTGTAGAGGGAGCGTCTCTCTAGTTTACATCATCTCTCCTTTTTTTCTTATTGTAATGTGCTTTGAGCAGACCTCAAGTGCCACAGTGTTAATTCTCTTTAGGCACAGGTTCAGAGCCATGTTGTTTACGATATCTTCCCCGCTCGTTTCATTTAGCACATAGTTAATTTGATCCCACATTCTTTCTGTTATTGAAGTTGAATTTGTCTCCCCACCCACATAGTTTCTGTCGTCTCCCCACCCACATAGTTTCTGTCGTCTCCCCACCCACATAGTTTCTGTCGTCTCCCCACCCACATAGTTTCTGTCGTCTCCCCACCCACATAGTTTCTGTCGTCTCCCCACCCACATAGTTTCTGTCGTCTCCCCACCCACATAGTTTCTGTCGTCTCCTCACCCACATAGTTTCTGTCGTCTCTCCACCCATATAGTTTCTGTCGTCTCCCCACCCACATAGTTTCTGTCGTCTCCCCACCCACATAGTTTCTGTCGTCTCTCCACCCACATAGTTTCTGTCAAATACCTTTGTAACTTGTCATGATTGTGACTATACCTACCTGGAGTTCATTACCTTTGTAAATTGTGAGTTCATTACCTTTGTAAATTGTGAATTCATTACCTCTGTAACTTGCTCAGCTATCAAAACTTTGGAGTCCAGTCCCAGGACCAATTATGTACCTCTGTAATATTTTGACTACCGCCCACAGGATGGGTATGGGGTGCATAATAAACATATTAAACTGAACTGAACTGTCTCCCCACCTACATAGTTTCTGTCGTCTCCCCACCCACATAGTTTCTGTCGTCTCTCCACCCACATAGTTTCTGTTCATTTTTTCTCACTTATTCTATTTTTAATGTGCCATTTATTTACTCATTTTCCCTTTGCTCTGTCATAGTACATTTTTGGTCGTTGACAACTAGTATTTGCTGGAATTCTGGCATTAGTTTACACTTGACGAGACATACAACCTGTGTGCATCTCGGAATAAGGATTTTTAGTGTAAATTGTAATTTTAGGAGATATTAGCGAAATTATTTTATTTGCGTAGCATGTCTGAGACAGGTGACACGTATGGCCTAAAATTGACATAAGTACCGATGGTGAAGTAAGGTTTTTTCTTTACATTATTTTAGGTTGAGTTATATGATTACCTTATTTTTTTCATAAACCATCTCTAATATTAAACTAACTAAATATACTTTAAATTATAATTAATCACCGGAATCTCCCGAAGAGCAGTATCATTCCTTTTATTTTGTTTTGTGCAGTTCCACCGTGCCGTTTTCTCTCAAAATTGTCTACTTATGTTTCGCTAAAATACCCATCACCGCTCCAATCTTTCCTGTCTAGCATAGTCCAAGTACCATAGTCATATGATTCTGACGTTTTGTTTTGACATGTTACCTCGTTTTATGATTCATGACAATTAAATATTGCCTATGACCTTACCTTTTGACATAGCTAGACGACTGTGATTTTGACCTGCTATTCAATGACCCCACTTCACATGGAAAAAATAATTTACGTATATAAAATGTGTGAGCCGAGACGTATGGACAAGTTTCCTTGACACCTGCTGCCTCAGATCACCTAGCAGTAAATAAGTACCTGTGAGTTACTAGACGGTTTTGGGCCACATCCTTGGAAAGAGGGCCAAGGGACACCACCGGAAATAAACCGCTGTGCTTTTTTTGCTTGGGTTTTAATGAGTTTATAAAACGAAGAAACTTAAATACGAGGCTACGTATAATATATATACCTACTTTACATAAATACTTTGTAAGGGGCTATTTAAGATGTTTATAATGGTACGTGTTATACAGGTAGCTGTTGTTGGGTGTGGGAGGGGGTTGTGCTGGGGTGCTAGGCTGCGAGGTGTGTCGGAGCACGTCTCAGGTGTCACACGGGTAAGGCTGGATTGTGTGTCGGTATATAAGACCCGGGAGCAGCCGTGTTTCGGCTAGGTTGTCCACACTACCCCTCACCCTCCACGGATCCGCCGCTTCCGCCGCCTTCGTGCGCCGCCACTTTCTTCCGTCAGTAACCCCTGTAAGCCGCCACGACGTCGGTCAGCATGAACAAGTACTTCCCGGGGATCGGGCGGGTGGAGTACCGGCCGGATGCCGGCCCCGAGGACACTTTGGTCTTCCGGCACTACAATGCCACCGAGACCGTCCACGGCCGCTCCATGGAGGAATGGCTCCGCTTCTCCGTCTGCTACTTCAACACCTTCAGGTGAGTGAGGCCCCTTCAAATAGACGCGGCCGTCCCTGGTGAGAGAGACTTTTCCCAAGAGTGGTGTTTCCTGAGCCTGTGGTACCTTAGATAAGTGACGTCTTCATCAAGCTAATGATGCTTCATACTGGTGTAGTGCATGACGCTGGCGTGAAGCTAAAAATATTTGAAACGTTCCCTTCTATCACACTGGAGGCCGTTACATAGTTATGAAAACTTAAGTCACAATATGGTGGCTAAAAGAAGTCAACTATCCCATAAACTGGAAAAGAAACTGTGGACGACATTTCGGTCCGTTGTTTACTGTCGAGTCCCTCACCCTCTACTTATTAATCTTTACATAGAATCCTTTAAAATTACTCAGCTTCCTAATCGTGGTGTGCATTCTTAACTCTCTCTTCACTATGGAGATGATATATTCGTTCTCTGGTCACATGACTGATTCTCCCAACATTTTTGAAATCGTTCTTGCAAATCTTTTTTTCATCTATCAAGCTTAAAGCTGAGAAGGAATCCAATTTTCCCCAAACTTTCCACGATGTTCATGTCCATCGCCTGTGACTTATTTTTTCGTCTTCAGGAAGCCTGTGCACAGTGGCACGTACGCTCTTTACTTGCCCTACCGTGCATAATATGTAAGTATTCTTGTTTCTTTGTTCGTATATTTCCTTACTTCAAGTGTTTACTCTACTTTCTGCCCCTCTTTCCTTCGTTTGAACACTGGCGATGTTGGCCACAGAAACAGATCTTTTTTAGAATCGTCTTAGGGATCATACCCATTCAATAAGCTGATTCTTTTCCAAAGTTCTCCAAGTCTTTAATGAATGCTGATTCATTGACGCGGAATTGTACATCTCTACCTTGAATCATATTTGTGGCTTATTTCCTTTGTGCTTACGCATCCCAGTACACATGTGGAAATTTATTTGGTCCCTAAAGTTCCACAGCAGATCCAGCATGGCCGTATGGGACGGCCGAGCCGGGTGGCCCTTAAACCCTCCCAAACAAACAAAGCATTCTCTGGTTGGCGGTTGTTGATAAGCTTATTTAATTTATAGATTTACTCTTCAGGGAAGGAGTAGGTAGTTCTACTGGTAGTACACTAATATTAGGTTTACTAAGGCATCTGTAGATAATGATAAAGTAGACCTAAGACCTTAACATAGGTAGTAATAGGCCGATAATGTAGGCAAACACTAGGATAAGTTAGCTAGGGAGAACTGGCAGCCCTAGTTTGAACGAAGAGAGGAGGGTCTGGAAGGGAGACCAGCTTGCTCTTCTTACGACAGACACCATCAAGACAAGATGTGCCATGAACAACAGACGGCGCCCCACGTGTCTTCACATTTGAGACCTGGGGAAATCTGGTAGAGGCACCTCGATGTACCGTAGATGACCTCCACCATCAGCCCATACAGTAAGACAAGATCTTCACTTTTTCCCGTGGGTTCTGGCCAGTGTCTTGGGAGATCGTGAGTGAGTTTTAATTGTGGGCCCGGTGTGCAACAGAGAGAGCATGCCCAGTAAGTACCAGTGTCTCAGAGCCGTCTGAAGCTAGTGTCTGAGTCTGCATAGTTATACTAGGGGATACATACCCTCTTGGATATAGGAATTTCTGAGGTGCAGGCAGGACACTAATTACGATTGAATGTTGCAGGAATTAATGCTCCCGGTTTCACGTGGTTTCTGAGGGGGAGTCCAAAGGGGCTAAGGCTAGCTTAGGGAAGTGAAGATCAGGATATATGCTGCAACACCAAGTAAGTTAGTCCTTTATACGTGCATGCAGGCGAGGTTTCTTGCAATACCAATCATTTGTGAAAATCTGTCCTATAAGCCACTTGTGAGGCTGAGGTACCCACCTCAGAGCTCGGTGTCAACAGAGTTTGCCAGGGTAGGCGACTCACTTGGAGGCAGTCCACACAAATTTTCACAACACACTTGACTTACCCTGACCTTGGCTATCTCATCACTTACAAATAACCTGACCTGGTTTCTGACACTATATTAAGTGTCTTTATGAGCTTAATATAAGCCACTGAAAATTAACAATTTGAAAATAGGCCTTACGTTTGTCAAGACAGGGATGGTGTTGAGAATTGTGTTTGAGGACGAGGAGAGTTCTTGGTATTATATATTAATAATGTCTTTATTTCTACAAGTACATGTACAAGGTATACAGGTTTAGCTGACGTCAATGACATACTACTATATAGAAAGCCGCTTGTTATGCTGAACATTTCGGGCAAATTGGGTCAGTTTTGTCCCAGGATGCGACCCACACCAGTACCGGAGATTCGAACTCAGGACTTCATTGTGAGAGCTGAATGCGCTAGCGATCAAGCTTCGGGACACCCATGTACGCAATTATTATGCAGTAATCGCAAACGAGCGACACAAGATGCAAAATAACCATAGGCGTTGAATGATAGCTCTAGGCCTTGTGTGTTACAATAAACACATCAGGACTTGCAGTGTTGCAGAAATAGAGCAAGAAATCCAGGAAGGTTCGTTCGTGTAAATGTTACATAGCGATGTTTCCACATTGGTCCCACCAGCTTGTAAACATCCTTATATAACACTATATTACACATAGTGAATAAACGAAACAAATTAAATTGTATTTTGTTTTACCTAACAGTAATTTACAGTCTTAAGTTCTACCATCAGATCAACGAATATTGTCATAAATAGCATTGATAAATTAGACACATGTGCAACACTAGGCATTATGGGCCAACTTAACATTTTTGGCTTACAGTTTAACACTAAGGATAGTAATTATTTCATTATTGACCTAATGAGATGTTTTAATCTATTGTTCATCCATTTGGGATCAGTTTTGTTAGATCTAATTTTCCTACACGGAACAAAAGTTAACTGAGCAGCTAGAACTATGCTCTGAAAAACGTCATATTGGCAACCAACACCAGCTACCAGACCCATAGTCAGACCATCCCAATTTAGCCCACCCAGGTAATTTTTCAGTCCCATGAAATCAGCCAATCGAAAGTCTGGGACAGAGACTTGATCGCAGTTTACTGGGTAATTCCATAATATATTGAAGCTAAGTTATTTGTGATCACTTTTCTCAAGCTCATCATTAACCTCAAGATTATTAATTAGTGATTCTTTGTTGGCAAGAACCAAGTCAAGCAAATTGTATCCTCTAGTTGGTTGTCACAAACTTTTAAAAAACAATCCTGAACTGTATCAAATAAGTCACTAGACTCAAGATTTCCTGTCAAATTGTTCCAATCAATTTGTCTAAAATTAAAATCCCCCATTAACAACATTTTCATATCTAGATGACTTATGAATTTCGTCCCATAGCAGCTTACTGCACACACTATCAAGGTTTGGGGGCCTATATATCACACCCAAAATTAATTTTTCATACCCCTCGAGAAATTGTAGCCAAACAGATTCTGTGTCCGATGTTTCTATTCTTACATGTCTAACAACAATTTAAATTATCTCTGACATACATTGCCACTCCTCCACCCTTCCTGTCGACCCTGTCAGTGTGGAATAGTTTATAATCCTGTATGTTGCATTCAGAAGGCATTTCTCTGTCTTTCAGGTTGAACCAGGTCTCTCTTATACCAATAATATAGTATAACCTACACTTGCACGTAATCTTAGCTCATCTATCTTATTTCTTAGACTCCTACTATTTGTATAGTAAACCTTAAGGGAGCTAGTCACTCGTTGCCCTCTACTATCTCTCTTTGTTGATCAGTTGCTTTGTCTTTATTAGGAACTTTATTTTGAATATTGTCTTTTAAACATATCCCTGAGGTATCCTGGTAATATCTGCTGTTTCCAACAATAATACTGCAGCCTGATTGTTTCCCACAAACACCCATACCTCTATAATCTATCAGTTTAAAGTCCTAGACAAGTCATCAATTACCCCCTCAATCGAATTGGCTAGATAATATTTCGTTAAAAAAATATCTAGTATAATTAAACTAGGACTGTTGGTGACACGTTGGGTCTCGTATTTATTCGGAGAGGATTAAAGTATATTTCAGACCATGCACAAGTAAATGAGACAGATCCTGGCATGAACCCAGTCGACTGTCTCGAGTTTAATAACGAAAAAACGTGCATTAGAGGTATTAAAATACTAATGAAAGCAAAAATATTCCATTTTATTACAGCGTAAATAATTTTTTCCGTCTTCATATGTGCTTCAAAATTTTTACGGAAGAGAATTAACATTCATGGTCACTTTGGGATAATTTTTCATCAGCTGATGTTGGACAGTAATTGTATTTTCCAACCCCAGCTTTTCTCAGTTGTGTAATTGTTGGAAGCAATACGACAATAGTTAGATCAACGGACACACGCAACTTAGTGAGACATGACAGTAAAGTTCCGCCCACCAGAGTCTTGAGGGCAGGTCTAGTTGCTTCTGTCAGCAGTTCTTCCACCGACATCGACGAGTATACCTTGAGGGGGTTTGTTTCAGGAATTCCTCGTTATTATTTATCATTCCCTCACACTTCATGAATCTTGATACCCATCATCCACGACAAGGTTACAAAACACACAATCTTTACCTGGAGTTTACCTGGAGAGAGTTCCGGGGGTCAACACCTCCGCGGCCTGGTCTGTGACCAGGCCTCATGGTGGATCAGAACCTGATCAACCAGGCTGTTACTGCTGGCTGCACGCAAACCAACGTACGAGCCACAGCCCGGCTGATCAGGAACCGACTTTAGGTGCTTGTCCAGTGCCAGCTTGAAGACTGCCAGGGGTCTGTTGGTAATCCCCCTTATGTATGCTGGGAGGCAGTTGAACAGTCTCGGGCCCCTGACACTTATTGTATGGTCTCTTAACGTGCTAGTGACACCCCTGCTTTTCATTGGGGGGATGTTGCATCGTCTGCCAAGTCTTTTGCTTTCGTAGCGAGTGATTTTCGTGTGCAAGTTCGGTACTAGTCCCTCTAGGATTTTCCAGGTGTATATAATCATGTATCTCTCCCGCCTGCGTTC